TGAAAAACAAAATAAAGAAAAAGAGATGCTCGGACAGCAACAGGAGAAGGCTGGGTATCGATGCCAGCATCGATACCCGTATCGATGCCTGCATCGATACGGACATACAGTTTGTTACGAATCTAAGGCTAAAATTTGTTATTTTTGGATAAGATTTCAATCCAATGGCTCTCATTCACTGATGTTTGCTATAAATAGGGGTAGAGAGTGAAGGGTTAGAGGTGTGAAAAATTTTATAACTCTATTTGGAGATGAGGGCTACTCTTAATTGAGAAGGCCTTCCAAAAATTATAACTTTTGTTGCAATTAATAATAATTATTTTTCTCCACTTTAAATTTGTATTTTCTCCTCTTTGTTGAATGATGAGGATGGAGATGAAGAGCAATTTGAAGGTTTGCATTTCTTTTATTTTTCCTTATTTATTTCTTTTTAGTAATTTCTTTATTATTGCTTATTAGTTAGATTTACATTCATACTTGTAGTGTAGATTTATTTTCTTGTCTTTTTATTTCTTTTTGTACTTTAATTTCTAGAGTAGATTTATTTTTTTGCATTTAATTTTTGTAATATATTTTGTTGTTTAGATTTTAATTCATTGTAGTTAGATTTAATTCTTGTTCATAGTTTAGATTTTTCTTTTCTTTTTATTTTTTTAATTAGTTCTTTTTCTTCTTGTTTTTATTTCTTAAGATGTGAAATTAATTCTTGTAGGAATCTTAGAATTATATGAAACTAGTCTAATTTCCTTTATATTGTATGGATTATTATCTTGCACTTAAAATATTCATGTTTAGGATAATCAACTAGAAAACTAATCGGTAGAAGAAAAATTTGATAATCTATGGTTATCTTAAATGGTTTGATAAGTTATGCTTATGAATTCTAGGATTACTATCTTGTTGTTGTTCTTATCATGAATAGTAATTTTGACTTAGATGATAGTTTGATAGGTTATACTTTCCGTAAATGGTTTGATAGTCTATGCTTAATAAATCTAAGTTGAAATATGTTAAAAAGAGAATAGTTTGTCTTTTGTAATTGAGATTAGCTAGTGGATTAAATTCTAGATTTCTCATATCTTAATTGAATCCTCCATCTTGACTTTTTTGAACTTTCTTTTCATTCTTGATTTTAATAATTGATTTTATTCATTCTTCTCTCTTCCCTTATGATTTCATTTATTCTTTGATTCTTCTTTCTTTTCTCTAAAATTCAATTTATTGTTACTTGCACATATTCAAAACAATCACTCATCATATCTCTCTCCACAATCACACTTATTCTTTAATCCTATTTTGTCACGCACAAAACATAAGAATCAATTCTAATAATCTCTTAAAATCACCTTCCTCGTGGGATCGATAACTTTTTATACTATAACTTGATCAATTGTGCACTTATAATTTTGGTACATAATTATGCCGCATCAAGTTTTTGGCGTTGTTGCCGGGGAAGGTGCTAAAATAGGATTTTATTATTTTGTTTCTTTAACTTGTGTGTTTTTCTTATGAAGGAACCACTTGGAGCTTGAAAATCTTGGATTGAAGATCAAGAATTTGGAGCATTGCTTTCGGGTAAGTCTTCTTTGTAGCGTTTTTAATTCCACCATCTTTAGTTAGCTTCACAATTAGAGACAATTAGGATTTAAAAAAAAAAGATTTTATTTTTGTTGACCATAATAAAAACCATCTTTCACTTGGACATTAACTAACAAGATAATAAACTCAAACAATGTTTCCCCTTCTCATAGTTGTTTGATTGTTGACCCTAATAAAAAATATAAAGATTTTCTTTCTATCATTCTTTTTAGTCGCTTTTAATTTCTAGGGTTGCATTTCATATAGTGTAGGAATTCACCAAAGTGATTGTAGCACTTGATTTGGCACATACTTAAAACATTCTTAAAGGCAAAACCCCTAATCAAGATAAGGTAAGGGATTTTATTACCCTTTCCTTAGCCCACAAATCACTAATTTTTCACTTAACAAACCCAAGCCTTCTAAAACTCATTAGACATTGGCCCTAAGGATTCAAGCTCAATAAGGAACAAGAAATCCTTAAGTGAACCGGTTTAAGTTTTCTCAGATTAGTTAGTGTCTAAGAAAAGGTTTAGGGATTGCGTAAAGCGCTCCGCAAGGAAAGATGTACTTAATTGATCTTTGATCACCCTCTAGTACTATCCTTACCTGGCTAACTACCTGGGTAAAACTTTAATCTTTTCACTGTAGGAGTTTTTGGTTAGGAGCTGGTCTAGTTGAGTTAGGCTAAACCCTAGAATTAAAATGTCAAAATTCATATGTTTATATTTCTGTGTTTTGGACCTCCTTACAAAATAATTATATTTTACATTAAGCTTGGGTAATTTAGTTTAGGAGTTTATATTATGTGTGTTAATACCTTAAGCTCAATATAATATACAGTTTAGGAGTTTATATTATGTGTGTTAATACCTTAAGCTCAATATAATATACACACACATTTATTGGTTTCCATGTATATATATAGTTATATATATACATATATGTTTTGGTTTGATAGTTCTCAAGTTTTACTATGAAACAATTTAATATAATTAGAAAACATATTTTTGTTTCATACTTATATGCATATATATGATTTCATCAATATCAATTTTATTTAGTTCAATAAAATCATGTTTTAATACATTATATGTGTATTTTGATAAAATACTACATTCATTATTTATAGACTTTATAACGATAGTTTACATCTTTCTTCAAGTCTATAAAATTATTTTGTAAAGTTTCAAAATATGGTTTAGGTAAAATGTCAAAATTCATATGTTTACATTTCTGTATTTTGGACCTCCTTACAAAATAATGATATTTTACATTTGGGAAGTCCTTTTTGCAAACAAGTCTTTGTAGCATGTTTATTATTATGTCTACAATCATTCCCCAAAGTTTTATATTTTTCTGAATTTATTTGATATTTTTAAACAGTGTTTTAAAATCAGTAAACTGTTTTCAAACCTGAAAATTTCATATATCAGTTCACGGTCGACCGCCACGGTCGACCGTCAGCTCAAAAATTCCCAAGGATGTAGCAGAAACTTTCACGGTAGACCGTCATGGTCGACTGTCAAGCTGAAAATTCCCACGGTCGACTTTTTCACGGTTGACCGCCGATAGCCCAACGGCTATTTTTGGTACAGAATCGTATTCCTGATTTTCTAGGATTTTTGTTGTTTTGTTTGGGGTTTTGCCTGTTGGTTTCTCTTCCTATATAAACCCCTCAACCCCTCTTCTATCAGTAACCAAGAAGAAAGTTTTAAACAAGTTTAAGAGGGTTTTACAGTTTGTTTAGTTTATTTTTGGGGTTTGCTTTTACAAAGAGGAGCTTGTATAGTCTGTTGAGGAGTTCATCTTCAATATCTTCTCATCCTTTCTTTGTGTTTATAGAGAAGTTTTCTAACTCTTTTCTCTAGCAATATTATTATTGATTTTCATATTCTTATTATTGCTAGTTTGCTATTTGATTTTAGTTTTAATCTCATTGTTACACACACCCACATTGAGCTTATTGTATTTTCATATATAGTATATTCGTGTTGGTGAGAGTTGTAACAATTGAGTGTGAGCTTTCATTGTGTTCTCATCCATATTAGAGAACAAATCATTATTGTACTAACCCTAATTGTGAGGATACACTTTGTAATACACTTGTACACCGAGAGAAGTGTGTGGGAACCTAGGGAGAGGTTATATCCGAGCACTTGAGGGAGACACGTCTAGTTCAACACTTGAGAGGGTGTAGAGTGGGATTACAAAAGTGTGTTAGTTGTAGAGTTTTCGGTAAACTAGAAACCGTATTGTGAGGTATAAACGTTGTTCGGGTAAATGTGGAAAACCCGATTGTTATAGTGAAGATCTCCTCGAGGTGAGGAGCGGAGACGTAGGTCGTGGGAACCGAACTCCGTAATCATATCGTTTGTCTGTGATTGCATTGGCGCACTTATTTTTATGTTCATATCTTATATCGCCATTGTATATTGCTTGTTGATTATATTGCCCACTATCTAGTTTAGTTTGTTTACCCTTGTGTTAATTATATATCCTTACATATATCTCATAGTATATCTCATTGCTAGGATATTTACTTTTGTTCATATTGTTTATTCTTGCTTATAACATATTGTATATCTCTCTTGCAAGAATAATTTGTTAATTAGTTTTAATTGGCATAAAATCAGATTAGATTAGCATAAGACCCTAATCAACCCCCCCCCCCCCCCCCCCCCCCACGCCNTAACACCCTCGACGGGTCAGTCCTAGAACTGATGAGAGGAAGAGCTGATATACCACTTTATTGAGATATTTTACTTTCGGTTCTTGTTTCCTTTGTGAAACAGGGGATTTAGTTGAGACTACTCTCTTGTCGAGCACCAGAGGTGTTGCCGAAATTTACTATGCGCACAACATTGGCTTCCAAGTTCTACAAATCGTAGTAGGCGGGGAGACTCAAATTCCCCAGCACTGAGAAACTTGCAAGGTCAATCAAAGTTGGATAACTAATTGGGCTTTTAAAAATAATCCAATCTAGAACTTGACGTGGGTCATTGCCTAGCAACATATCAGCCCATAAGGCATTGCACGAAAACTAGTTATCACACAAACACAAAACAACTGAATTCCTATAAAACCATGGCTAACCACTTAGCGCGTGGGTCGGTATAAAGGCTGGTGAATGTGCTTCTTTCATCGTACTATGATGAAGGCAACTTTCACCGGTCGCGAGATAAAAAGCCGTCGAGTTACTTTCTTACGAAGTGGTGACTCAGTTTTGAAGAATTGCCCCCACACACCCTGATCATTAATAACAGAAAGTTTTTCTCCTCAAATAATAGCTACTTTGCTTTATATTTCAAGGTATTCCAATTAATTTTAAGTAAGGGAAAATACTGTTAAAATAAGCATCAAAACAATGTCTATGTGGGCATATAACTCTGAAATATTCTACTGAACACAATTTGCGTTGGTAGATAACATAAAATTATGCCTTCTTGCATCGCTTGTATTGACGTTGTAGGATTGTTTGAACAATCAGAAAAGCCAAATTTACATCAATTAGTTTTTTATACATATAAACAGAAACTCACATGCAGAGAATTTTATCTTGATTTGTACAGTGGAACATCATCTTTTGGAGTAGACCAAGGATATTCCATGGTAGGATCCCTTGGAAACTTTCTGAAGTTGATAAACGGAGCCCATAACAACAGCCTTCACGCAAATGGAAAAACCTTGTATAAGTATTCAACAGAGCTTTCTCCGAGAAAATCTAAAATAGTTCCTAGTCCGAAAAAAATTCCAAGTCTGAAAACAGATACACCGAGTATAAAGAAATATTCAAAAAAAAATTCTTCCAACTGTACTTGCTAAACTATGCTTAGAAGTTCTATAGTCCACGTTGTACTAAAATTCGAATAGAAAACAAAATTGTGGAAGCAAACTACGAGATCAGCCTTTCACTTTATGAAAGCATATCATGAAATCCGTCGCCGCCTTTTGAAAGATCTATTAGTAGCTTATATTTCTGTATAGGGGTAGCCTTTTTAACTTAAATCTCTTCTAAAGGCATGTTTGGGAACTTGGCTTATAATCCGCAAATGGATTATAGGCCAAGTGGATGATAAGCCAAAATGGTTGGTTAAAAAATAAAGATTATAAGCCATTTTTAATAGGAGAGTGTTTGGCAAATGTATAGATTATAATCTATCATTGTTGTCAAAATGACTAAATTAGACATGGCTATAATTTAAACATTGACTTTGGAATTATCTTAAACATTGACGGGGTAAACTTGACATTTACTTAATCAAACTATATGGCTTATAAGGCACTAAAAAATAAGCTGGATTAGGGGAGCTTAATTTTTTGGGCTTAACAGCTTCCTCATTTTATTGGTATTCTCACTTTTGGAGAATTTTGGGCTTTTTTTGGTCCAACAGATTCCTCATCTCATTCTCCAAAATAGGGATGGAGGAGAAAAAAAGGGGAGTCTTCGTCAAATCTGGGGCATTCTTCAAATATTTAGGAAGAGCTTTATCATAAATGCAGCACGTTCTTCAAAACGGGTTAGAGGAGAAAAAAAATATAAAACAAAATACGTAATTACAAAAAAAGCCATGGAGACAATTCTAATGCATAAGAGCATCCCAAAATAGGGATGTAGAATATTTTTATTATTATAATAAATGCAGGATTCTTCTAATGCATAAGAGCATCCCAAAATAGGGATGTAGAATATTTTTATTATTATAATAAATGCAGGATTCTTCAAAATGGGGAAGCTGTTGGAGTTTAGGGATGTAGAATATTTTTATTATTATAATAAATGCAGGATTCTTCAAAATGGGGAAGCTGTTGGAGTTTGAGCAAAAATAATTTGGAGAATATGACTTTTGCTTTCCCATTTTGGAGAAATTTTTGGGGAAACTGTTGGAGATGCTTTTATAAGCCAAAATAAGCCGGTTGTCAAATATGTTACAGTAGCTCAAGTCACAAAAGTGGTTTATTAGTCAGTTTGACCAGTCGCCAAACATGTTGTAAACCCCTCCCTGTTCTTCACTTTCTTAACCCACTGTTGAGGAACATTTGATTCAATTCTAAACAGTACTTACTCAATTTCCTGTATCCATGAGTGAAATAATCTTGATTTCAAATGAAGGCTAGGAAAAACTAGTCTGAAATTTTATCTTATAGGAGTAGAAAGTTTTAGAAGGTAAAAGATGTCCTTCTCAACCAGAGAAATTGTATTTAATCTTTTACATTGCTAATTCAACTATACGTCTTCTATAATCCGTGTACAATCTTTGTGCACGGGTAAGTCCTCCTATGTTCCTACTCCTACTTGGGACCATGAGATACTTGATTCATGTTTCCTCCATATTTCTAAACAAGGTATCCATGCTAATCAAGGCTTCCATGTTTTCAACCAAATATGTAGTAAAGTTTTGGTTATCAACACCAATTTTCTCACTTCTTGGTAAATTTTGATGAAAATTCAGGACTTTGGTTTTGCATGTCACCGTTACTGGAAACTGATCTAAGGCTCAACTAATTATAGGAGGTAGTGATTACAAAATTTTCAAGAATCCATATGTTTATTAGCTTTGTTAATTTCCAATCCTGCACATGGATTTAGAAACTCAAATTGAGCAAAAAAGGCAAGCTAGGGACTCACCCGGGAAAGAAGATGAAGACGCACATGAACTGCAGGTACATCTCCAAGAATTTGCGCTTGTACCATCTCAGCCTCATCCAGTTCATGAGAATAGGCTGTAGCAACCCAAAAAAAACTGAACAAACCATCCCTGATGCTCTGATATAAGGGTAGAAAATCCCCCTATGACTTCCATGAATGATAAGAAATCTTCTTAAGGTTTTAAAAGTGACACTTTATCCTCACATTTTCAACCTCTTTGTAATCAAAATAATCATCAATTAGGAGTAATATTGATATAGATATTTGTGTAAGAGCACATGTAACTACCATTTCAATTTCTTTTCTGATCAAATTTCATTTGATGTATTTAATCAGATAAATGTTTATAAGAGTACATATAACTTTTCAGCTTCTTTTCTAATAAAATAATCATCAAAATTTTTGATTTAATAATCATATACATGTTTGTATAAAGAGTATAGATAATTATCATTTTCAATTTCTTTTGCTAGTCAAATCATTAAATGTAGTCAAAATAATCATTAAATGTTTAGACGCAAGGTCAAACACATGCTTATACAGATAATTTTCATTCCCAATTTCTTTTCTGATTAAACAATCATCAAATTTCCGATCGACTAATTATATGCACGCTTGTATAAGTCTAGATATTGTCATAACCTATGACCACAGATTCAAAACTCAAGTTAACTTGTCACTTATGAAACACTAGCCTCGCTTGGTATGCGTGAGTGGGAATGATATTCCAATTCCCACTTATCATTCCTTCATACCCACAGCAACATATTTTTGGAAGCCAAAAATATCATTCCCACTTGTCATCAATTCCCACTTTATATGAAAATGACCATTCCAATGAGATGCAAGGGAATAGTCATCCCCATTTAAGTGAGAATAAAAAAACCATAACTTCCAAATATTCTCATGGCTAAACGACACTTAGGGGCTGTTTGGTTCGTTTTTTATCGCTGTGGAAACTCTTTTCACCGCCTCCACGTCAGAAGTTCGATGGCCACGTTGGATAAAACGTTTCCGTCGGTTTATTTTCCCCACTTTGGTTCGCTAGGGTTTCACAAGCGAAACTGAAGACTTTTCGCCGCCACCTCAGATTTCCTCCTCTCCCTCAATTCCTCCCTCAACCTCGTGAAATCGACGAAAACTGTAGCCACGTTGGTTGTTTGGTTTCCTCGTTGATTTCTTCGACGAGCTATACTTACCTCCGCGCTCTCCTCTCGCCAGAAACTCCCGCGACCCAATTTGTCCCTGTACTCGGATCTGATCATTGACGACAATAAACAGATTTGATCATCGCCGACGCTGTTGCTTCATAAATCAAGATAAAAAATAGTTTTTTTTTAATTTTCTTATTATTAGTTTAATTTACAACGATGATCTGAGAATTTGTGGGGATGGGGGGTCTGATTTACGCAATTTTTTGGATTTTCGAATCAATTTTTCTTATTTTTTTATTTTTTGACAGTTCACAGATAAGAAATTATGATTAGAAAATTTCGAATACTCATTCATAGAGAAAATTTATGGGAGGAGGGGGGTCTGATCTACGCAAATTTTTTGATTTTCGAATCAATTTGGGTGATTTTCCTTTTTTTTTTTTTTGAGATTTCACAGATAAGAAAATGAAGAAATTTCGTATAATTTCTTAGATTTTAGAATTAATTTTTGTTGTTTTAACATTATTATTGGGAATGTATTACGGATTTATTTTTCTAGGTGAGACATATCATATTTAATTACTAATAAATATCTGTAGGTGTTGAAAAAATTATAATTTGTGATGAGGAGCTTGTGACTATAGTAGTGAGAATCCCCCCATGATTTCGTATTTTTAAGATCAATTTTTTGTATTTTTAATTATCTCATTATTAGATAGTATGAAATTGTTAGTTGGTTGCGTGTTGTTAATGTAATTTTTCTCATTTTAGGAGCTAAAGTTCATATCTTTGTTATTTATTAATGCTATTTATATCACTGTAATATATTTTGGTTTGATATTGTAGTAATCCATGTTTGTAAATTGTAAATTGTAAATTGTAAATTATAATTTGTAATTTGTTCAGATTTGACATAATTCGACTTGGATTCTAACGGGATAACGATTTTTTGCATCGTAATGGATAATGATGATGATTGTTCCGATGAACAAAGTGTTGTAAATATGGTTCAAGGTGCTGCCATATTTGTTCTAATTATAATAATTACTGTCACTGAACATTCTGGGTCATAAATCTAAAAATCGCATAGTTAGATCTCATTTTATAAGATCAGGGGAGACAGTGAGTAGATATTTCAACAAGGTATTACAAGCAATTATTTGCCTGCGTGGACGGTACATGAGACAAGCCCCCAATGACATTCCCCAAGAGATCATTAACAACCCGCTATACTACCCTTATTTCAAGGTATATCTACACTTTAAGCACATTTAAATGTATAATCAATGTAAGTAAATTTTAATTTAGATGTGTTATACACGTATTATAGGATTGCATTGGAATGATAGATGGGACACATGTAGATGTTATGCTTCCGATTAATCTTGTTGCACGATTTCGAGCCCGCAAAGGTGTTACACAGAATGTGCTTGTAGCTTGCACCACAAACAAGTTGTTCACATATGTTCTAGCAGGTTGGGAGGGGTCTGCAAATGATTATAGGATTCTTTAGGACGCATTGTCTAGACCACAACCACATGGATTAAGAGTCTATGATGGTAATTAAATATAGACTTAACTTAAAATTTATGGTTTTTAATATTCAAACTTGACTTAATAATTTTTTTAATAAAATTGTAGGCAAATACTATCTATGTGATGCTGGGTACCCAACCATGCTAGGTTTCATCTCTCCATACCGAGGTATTCGATATCATTTGAAAGAACATTCGGGTAAAACACCTAAGAATAGAAGAGAATTATTCAATCTAAGACATTCTTCATTGAGGTCTAAGATTGAATCTGCATTATCCTTTTCCTATACAAGTAGATATCGTATTGGCATGCACGGTACTCCATAATTTTATTATAACTGTGGATCCAAGTGATGAACTACTCAACGATGATGAAATTAATGAAGACATTGATGGTGAAGTGGCTTTCGAGAATGACACTAATTTAGTTGATTTTACTCAAAATCAAACCCAAAGAGAGCAAACCGAATCAATAAATGAGTGGAAGACTCTTAGGGATGACATTGTTTGGGTGATGTGGGTGGACTACTGTGATATGTATAATCATGGTGTAACCACAGAGACTTAATTTTTATTTTTGTTCTATTTATGTTCATATATGTACTCAATAACTCTATTTCCATTAATGTCGTTCTGCTTTTTTTCATGTTTTACTTCTTTCATCTAACTTTTTCTATTTAATTAGTAATGGCTGATAATACTTCATTAAGTGGGAGAGATAATCAAAAAGGCAAGGGGGTCGTTCCTTGACCTTCCCCACCACCTCAACCCCCTCAGTCTGTGCATCACGGCGATGGATATTTTTCATTTCAGCAGTCGTACTTTGTACAACCACCTCAAGCATATCCGAACATGCCATTCCATGATAGCAGCTACTTTCCAATGCACCATAATATGGGACCATATTCAAACATGCTCAATTCACCCACTTTCCCTCCACAATTTCACAGTCCTAATCTGAGTAGAGTGCAGCTTTCGCACACTAGTGGTAATGGATCTACTCCCGAATCAGGTTCCAAACGGGACCTCATAGAAGAAGGGGTAGAAACATCGCCAAATCCAAAGAAGAATAGGAAAAACACCACATCCAAAAAAAATGGTGAAGTAGGTGGTTCTCAAGGGAACAAACATTTGTTCTGGGATTCCCGTTATGATGATGAGCTCATTCCATTTCTTGCTGACTTAGTAAGAAAGGGTTACAAACCTGACAAAAACTTTAAGAGAACCGCTTTTCATATGGCTTCTCAACACATTAATGAGAAGTTCAACACAGTTTTTAAGTGGGATAATGTCATGCACCGCATCAAAACTCTACGAACAAGATTTCGTGATATGGAAACTTATCGTAATCTTAGTGGTGCTGGATGGAATGATAGTACGAAGACTGTCATTATGGATCCTGAATGTTTGGATAGGTGGATTGAGGTAAATAAAGTCTGGTTAAAGAATAGATTTATTTTCTATTTTTAAGCAATTTTTCTAATTAATTAAATTATTATTTTTCAGGACAAGAGCTTTAAGAATGCTAAGCTTAGACAATATGTCAATAAATCATTGAGGCATTATGATGATCTCGCCCTTATCATCGGTGATGATCAAGCTACAGGTCAATTTGCTAATGATGCTTGAAAAAATATTAGCCGTAGTGAGACCATAAATCTTGGAGATGAGACGAACTCACCAATGCATTCTCCCTAATCTACTCAAGTACACATTGTAGATGACGAGGACACTCCTCCGCCTAAGGAAGCACCCAAAATATCAAGTTCTAAAGCTAAGTCATCCTCCGCCAAGGTAAAGGCTCGTAAGACCAACCTAGATAGTGAGATCATGCTAAAGATGGTGGATAAGATAGATGTATTTAGCACAAACATGTAGTGTGTGAATATGCATTGGACCGAGAAGTTATCCACAGTTCTATATGCTCATTCACATGACTTTACTGTTGCTAAGTTAGATACATACTACTGTCACCTCTTTATGAATGAGCATGAATCTAGACTATTTATGGGCATATCTTCGGATGGTCAGAAGGAGATGATAGAGGAGATGGTCAGAAGGAGATGATAGAGGCATTTCTCAACAAAGAGGATTGAAGACATATAGATCATGGGTGTGTGTGTTAGTTTATGATTCTCACTTAAACACTTTTTTGTTTGAAAACTTTTTTAATTATGGTTGAAGACTAATATCGTTTGGTTTAGAGATAATACTTTTTTAAAATAATGTTTAGTTTTGTGGTTGTCGAATTGTATGACAATGGCTAATATTATATTTATATTATAGTAAGTAGTTATTTGCTTTCATTTTTTAATATTATCTTTAATACTGTAAATATTGTGGTGTACTAACCTTTAAATAAAACTTGCAACTGCAGGATATTTA